ATTTCGATCCATTGATCCTCACTTGTAATAGAATTAGATTCAATATATTTGATGTAACATACAACCAACAAAATATCCACAAGATGAGTTTTTCAGATAATTTAAAAAAAAAAAAAATACATGTTAATTAGATCAGAGCCCATTTTCTACAAATATTGTAATTTAAGGGCTTAGTTTATTTTAAAGATCTGGGCCCTCCAAATCATTGAGCCGGACATGCATGTGTTCGACCCTAATTTTAGTTTTCAAAATCTTATTTGCTTTTTCTTTCCAACAAATCTTATTTGGTTGATGTTTTTTTTTCTTTCAAAGAAATGTAGCAGGTATGTATGTAAACAGTCACAAATGATTTGTTTTGATGTTTTTTTTCTTTTTTGCTAAGATGTTTTGATGTTTTTTTTTCTTGGTCGTCTTATTAAACATTGAAACTATAAACATTATGTACATTACATAGAGTTCCATTTGATTTACATAGTGAGATTGATTAACCGTAGCTGATCTTGCTAAGGAATCTACCACATCTAGATACAGTTTCTAGGGACATAGGAAAACGAGTAATTATACAGAGAAGCTAGATATGTGTATAAGTGAGGAATGAGTAATCCCAAAGCTATGTAACCCATTTATAACCAAATTTACAGGGTTCTTGAATTGCCATTCTCAAAGCTACCGCTTCTGCTTCAAGTGGCGAATGTAGTGGCTTCAATGGAAGAAGAACCTTGTAGAATTTGTGTTCCTTCTTTCTTTAGAAGCCAAGCAATGCCTTCTTTATAAGCATTCCAGTAGATAGGGTTCATTATGAGTACTCTGTATAGGAGGAGCATGGTTCCTTCTGTGCTCTACTAAACGACCATTATGCTGCATTTGTTCTGCTTCTAAACAGATTTTTTTTTTCTTTCTAAAATTTAACATTTCTTCTTTCTGATGTAAAACTGAAACACTTGCTTGTACGCATGAGTTTTGGTTCTACTTCATGCCTCATGGATAAGACTTGTTGTAACTAACCGCCAAACACTTTTTGACTTTTTCTGTTTTCATAGTTCTGCACAATAAAAGATTTATCCTTAACAAACAAGACAGAGACTTTGTTCTCCACTTCATTAACATCTTTACATTAGTAGCAAAAGAGAGCATTTTGAATTTATTTATAAAAATTATTCTTCTTTTGGTTCTTCCTAAGTTGCTAAAACCAGAATAAGCTTGTGAACAAGAGCTTAGTTTCATTACAAAGAAAAGAGAAGAAAAAGACAACCAAAGATATAACTGATTGTGTCTGAATAAACAAGAAAAAAAAAAAACATGCTTCTCATATGCATGTTCCAAGAGAGCTTAACCATCCACACCCCAAATCTCCTCCTGAGAATTCAGATTGGCTCTGTTCCTGTTACAAGTCAAAGAAATAGTTTTAGAATTCCAAGAAACATAATCTTCAACAAGTGAAAACGGGCAAAGAAATTGGTTTTATACATTACCTGAGTCATCATGGAGTTGACAATATCATCTAAGGAACCAGCATCCGAAGCCATAAAACCGTTCTGTAGCTTCTGTTGTCCCATGAGTAAACCTTCCTTTAGATTGCTACTACTCAACAGTTGAGCATCTGTCACTGGACCTGAGTTGTTTGCAGGCTGCTGCTTCATCTCTAATAGATCGAAAAAGTCTGTTTCTGCAGCATTTGAGGAGCCGAAACCCGTGTTTCCGGAAAAAGATGTCGGATTTGCATCCAGGTTTGGGTCGACTAGCGGACTGGCTGAGTCACAGAACAGGTTCCATTCCAAGGTGTCGGGTTTCGAGTGAACATCGCTCTGTGGAACGTTGGTTGACAACACAGCGTTTGACCACTGTTGAAGACGGTTGTTCATCTCGAAATGAGGAGAAAATCCTGGAGATGATGACTGTGGGTTACCTTCAAGAACTAAGTGATTATTGGGAGCAACCATTAGAGAGCTTTGTTGTGAAGTAAAGCTCGGAAAAGCAGC